TACCCACTGTATATATAATAATAAATTATTTATATGATAAAATATATGCTATATTATTTATAATATCAAATGCTTGCAGGAAAGATGACATACTAGCAATGAGCAGGGTGTCCATTCGTGGAGGTGGCTGAGGAGGTTTGAACATCTTGCTCAGGTCTTCCTCAGGAAGCGGAGGCTCTCCTCGACTCTGTCTCTGCGCATTCTCCTGTTGCCGTCTCTGAATGTACTGTAGAGGGATGAAGAACAAACGGTTATTCTGAACTTGATATCCCAATCTTTTGTTATTAACCGGCAGGCTGCCTGAATGAAAGCAAATCTTCTGAGAGGCAACCTTTTAAGATGGCCATGACAGGCCAGGAGAGGTGGCAGTGTATTTAAAAGAAGGGGAAGATGACAGCTGGAACAATAGACACTGATGACTGTGTTGTGAAGGAGCTGTCTAAAAAAAATAACTAAACTGTACTATACTTCAGATAACATCAGAGTAATCATTCAACTAATCACTGATAATGCAAGTGGCATTGTGTCCTTTGTGCCTCCTTGTAATCAATCAAATTTTCTGCATCAGGTATTAGATTTCAAGAAATGAGTAAATAATGAGAGAATCACTATGTCATTACAGTATCAGGGGAATTTGGGAGGTCACATGTACTTCAACCAATCACAGAGTCCAGCACTGAGGAAGGCCATTACCACCTCGCCTCTCCGGTCTCATACAGACCTTGATATACAGCCACTCAATAAATCTCTTTTAACTTCACTGGCTTTATAGAGTCAGTGCCTTGGCTGGCTGCGTGGCACAAAAATCCCAGACACTCTCGCATGAATAGGAAGATTTGCAGCTTTATATTTGAAAATGAACTTGGATGAACCTCATGAAGAAAAATCAAGGTCATACTTCACCCTAAAACTCTGCATAGAGACAATAAAAACTATTTGTTGGACCACTAAGATTTTGTTGTTCAGTACATGATGTATCCTTACATGTGTACCAGATTCTGTATATACAATACCATTCATAAATTTGTGGTTTTTAAGAAAAATTATAAACGTATAATAAGAAATTATAATGATTATTATAGTAATCATAATTTCTAATATTTTTAAATATATAATTAACTGTTTTCTTTTTTTTATCTATTTTTTTATGTACTTTATTCCTGTTATAGCAAATGGCAAATTTTTTGCATCCATTACTCCAGTCTTCAATCTCACATGACCCTTCAGAAATCAGATTAATATGCTGATTTGGTGTTTAAGAAACATTTATTACTATTATTATTAAAAAACACTTTCATTATATACAGAACAATTATTTTTTTTAATGTAAAAATTACAGGAGAGATGTGTAAAAACAACCTTGAAATATTACTTGATCTCTTCATGCAAAAATGTCATTCATTTACAATTTTTGTCTTTTGCTTTTCGGGGTGGAATATGATCTAAACATTTCTTGACTGTTTTCATGAGAATCACACTTTCTATTGTCTACACCATGAATGAACAAATAAACACTTATTTAAGAGCAAGATCTTTAATTGCTAAAAAACTGTACCAACCCTCCAAAGTGCACCCTGTGTTTTCGAAACGAAGCTTTGATTACAGCCTCAGAGCTAATTCCTGGGTTTCAGGTTGCACAGTTTCATCAATTACAACTGTATTATAATTATATCTTACAGAGCATAACATCAAAAGTGAAACATCAAGCCTCGTCAGATGCTCATTCAGCGCAAGCCCCTTATTGTGATCTTTGTGGTGACAACCTGTTTTCCCATGAGCACACATCGCGCTAGCAAAGCTACCATTAACGGTAACTAGCATTTACAGGCTTATGACAGCTCTCATCCCACAAGCACATCAAAGCATTCAAAAGTGTGCGCTCCCCCCATGTCACAATCATCCACAGCCCACTCCCACGTCCCTGTAATATTCTGGTCCCAAGATATGGCTCTGTTCCTTCTACTATCTGCTAAGTGAAAATCTGATCTCTTGAAAGTAATAGCACACCTTTTCTCAACAAGCTGGATGATTTGATGTATCGTTCAGAAACAGTGTGGGAAAATCTCTAGATGAAAAGACAGGTGTAGCCGTTTGATGGATTACCTGATGTTTCTGGTGCTGTTGCTTGCTGAGACTGCGGCAGTAGTTGTTGTACTTGACAATGTCCTGACTCATGTCGTCCACGCGGTCCATCAGCATCTGCAGGCTCTTCTCCAGATGAGTACTGCAGAGGAACGACGAGGTGAAGACGTTTGAATTATGGAAATGATGAATGCGCATTTGATTGCTTGATAATTAGTGAACGCTTCTTCATAGTGTCTTACGGTACACAAAAATAAATGTATTTTATGAATAGCATGGAGAAACTCAGGTAAACCAAAAGAGAAGCTGACTAATTCTTACATTCACAGTTTTTCCATAACCTGACTTTTATATAGACGTCACATTTTTTTAAGCAAGGTCACAAATATCCTGAATGTTAAATGTGAAGTGATTTAAATAAATAAAAATCAAGAAAAAGCAAAGCCATGCTGCAAAAAAAATTGGGAAAAAAAAAATGTATATAATGAAGAAAATATTTTTTGTATATTACAAATATATTACCATTTATAATTTGAATGAAGACTCTTATACTCACTAAATATGTATTTGATTAAAATACCTAGATGAAAAATAACTGTTTTCTATTTTAATGTCTGAGCAGCAGTATATCTAAACATCCTTAAAACGTGATGAATTTTTTCATTGCTAGCGAATAAAAGGATTTTGCTCACACCACTTTTGTAGTGAAATTTCAGTATGCTTGGATTAGAAATGTAAAACTCTGCCAGTATCTTGGCAACGCCATAAAGATCAAAATCTTATGGGAAAGTCAAATGATCAAAGCACATCTTAACCATCAACAGAGTAACACAGAATTTTAAAAAAGCAAATAGCATGGATTCCTCATTAATAATTCATCACGTTCCACATACAGCAAGATCATTTGCATGTATCATGCGATATGCAAAACAGGTCCCACTGTAACTAGTAGAATGATATCTATATTTTATAACAGGACAGCAGCCCGTAAGACCAAGGATTGGGAAAATGTCTTCAAAAGCAGTTTATCTGTTCTTGGTAAACCCCATTAACAACAAATTAGCCTCGCCAGCCTGTTCCATTCATCTTGAAGAAAAATGCAGGACGAATGTGGGGAAGTGAGATCCCGGGGGTGCGGACAAACCAGGAGCAGCTCTCTATCATGCATGAACATGTATACCCTGGTGCACATCCACACAGAGATTTATGTTAACACCAAGTCATCTTGTAAGGTCTATGTGTGCACTACAAAGAAATCTCTCATTAGCTGCTGGAAAAATCCAGATAAAACCAGATTAGTCTTTTGGAACAAGGTAGCTGGTTTGCAACTTCTCCAAATGGGTGATCACTCAGTTCAAGCTAGTAGATCTTGGACCAGCAACAAACCAGCTTTATGACCTGGTCAACAAGCCTGGAACAGCTTAATAAACTTTATTACTTACTAAATTCTATACTACTTTGTGTAAAATGTTGTTGTAAAAAATGTTTCAAAAAGTAAATTATGATACTGCAACGTTATAAAGTACAGTTTGAAAAATTGATATTAATTAATATAATTGATAATAATTAGTATTATAGACTCATACTTATAATTATAAATTAATCAGATTTTCTAAAGATTACATTTAACATTCTTATTAAATTATTAGCTAACAATAGTTTAGCAATATTTAAGATAATGCTTAATGCTTAAATAGCCAATATCAGCCAACATTAACAAATTAAAAACATTAAAAACTCAACTCCTTAGCCAACTCCTTAGCCAAATGTTGATTTACAGTTGATATACGATGTTGTGACACTCCAGAAGTGCAGCGGCAAACCGTAGACGCACCCTCCACTACATTTCCAAAACACAGAGAACAAGACCCAGAAGATTGTGGATTGCAATAGAACACAAACTCAGATTAGGACTGATGACCATAAAAACGGCAGTGAACAAAAAAGACGACACAACTTCAGGGAATCTGCTCACAGTATATTTAAAGAGAAGATTGTACTGTAAACCACAGCTTAACTAGACTCCGAACAGCAAAAAAATAAATAAAAAACACATACACAGATTTTTCTTTTTCCCTTTAACTGCCCCTACAGGGCAAGTTATATAGTTTGCTAGCTCTGCGAGTTTGGCAACAAAGCAAGCTTGTGGAGACTAAAAGAGAGAAAAGAGAAAGAGGGAATGTGTGTGTGTGTGGCCCTGGAAGCAGTTTTTAATGTTTCTGAAGAGTCTTTCTGTGGAGGCGCGCCAGCTCTGATGAATGAGGGCAAGCATCCCTGTATGACCTCCATCTTTTACCATGCACCTCATTATTCAGAGTCCAATGAGCTCTATGGATCTTTCCCTGTCCCGCTATCTGAATCTCACCCACACACACACATACACACACACAAACAGAAACACACATATGGTTTTTATATTTATTTATATATATTTATTTTCTATAAATCATTCTTTATATTATTTTCTTTAGTTTTTTATGCACATTTGCATATTTGTGACAAACACTGATGACAGCATTATTGCTTGATATTTTGGGTCATATCTATATAGCAATAATAATCATAATTATTATTGTTGTTGTTGTTAATAATAAACAAAGACAGTTAACTGTATTACCATTAAAGCTAACAGCTTTATACACTACTAGTCAAAAGTTTTTGAACAGTAAGATTTTTAATG